GAATTTGGTGACTAATTGGATGTGGGGAATGAGACAGAATGAGTCAGGTTTCTGATTTGGGAAACTGGTAAACAGTGGTGCTATTAACCAGGAAACAAAATATAGACAGAGGAACAGGTGTAGGCGGCTTAGAGAATGAGTTCCTTGTTTGCAGGAACCCTTATCTAGCTAGTGCCTTGTATTCAATGAGTGTTCAGTAAATAATGGGCTTTTTGGTCTTAAATCTTCAGTGGCTTCCTGATGCTCTTAGACTATCTGACATATATCATAATGTATATATGTGTGTATTTAGTATTACACCCAAGAGCCTATACGTTTTTGAGCATGAACTGGCTCCATCCTGGCCTCAGCTTTCTCCAGCTGTATCTCAGGCCACTCCTTCCCCACCTCATCACATTTGTGTCTCCTTTCTGACATTGAATTCTTTAAGCCTTTCCTCTGTCTGAGATGCTTTTTTCTCAATTCTTACTATGTAGAGTTTATTGTAATTCTTCAGATATGAACTCAAACATTACCTATTTAGAGAACTGTCTCTCAGCTCCAAGTCCATTGTTACATTCTGCATTGCGGTGCTGGGGCTGGAACTCTGCAAACTTCATGTCTTTCACCATTGGCTTCCTGTTAGGATTCAAGAATAGATTGCATTCGATTACAGGGAGCTTGGGAAGCAGATGGAGGGAAGGGACTTGTGTTCCTTCCTGTTTGCTTCTTATTCCTGTGTTGTCCTTGGCAACAGAAATTGGTTCTAACCTTCATTTTTTTTTTTTTTTTTTGGCCTGTGCACTCTCAGAATCAGCAGTGAGGCAGTGCCCTCTCCTTAGGAGGTTGAGTCCTAGCTTTAAAGGGTCTGACCTCTGTTCTGGGCTAATTACTCAGACTTTTCTCTGGCCTCCCCGACTTGGTTGTGATAGTTGTCCCTGTAGTTATTGTCTTTGACATCTCAATGTTTTCCTTCTGCTTTTCCAGACCTCCAGCACCTACTTAACTTATTCCTCCATTAGAGTATCTCGGTGTGGTTCCTGCCTTTTTTAATGGCTGTGCCCTGACACAAATGAATATGGTTAGGCCTCCACCCAGTTGCTTTCTAACATATCATTGGCTTTATTCATAGACTTCATAATCTGTATTTCAAAAAATTTTCTTTTGCTTTCTCATAATCTATCTCCTCCACTTGGATATCAGAGTCTCTGTCCTATTTATCACTGTATCCTTGGTGCCTAGCACAGAGCCTGGCATACTGCAGTAACTTAATAAATGCTTGTGAAGTAAATTATTGCATTATTAAAAAAGACTACAGGAGAAATATTGGTAACTAACCATACACAATGTCTGCAACTGAGCAATCTTTAACCTTTTGGTTCTAGGCCAGTTACTGATAAACCTTGTAACTATGTAGTGCTGTTAGAGAAAGTCAAGCTTAATACTTCTTATAAGCATGTTAGAATGCAATGTGCTTTTAACTTAGATCCATCACCATTGGAATAACAAGATAATATAGTTTATTTGCTTTGAATTCTGTACTTACTTATATCTCCACTTTCTATAATTGGGAATAATGAAAACTTACCTTATTAGGGTCTCACGAAGATCAAGGGTTGGTTATGCATCAGATCCACAAAATTTTATTGGTCAGCAAATTAATTTAAAAAGTGAAAGCCATCCAAAGAATCCATTTACTGTAACATGCAGCATCACTTAATAGCATTTACTTGTTAAACTTAATCTGCTTATGTTCATTTTTCATTGTGTGATACGGTTTGAAACAACTAAAACATAAAACCAAAAAAGCAGGTTATAAGGAACTGCTTAACTTCCACACAACTATCAGCAAGAATCTGAACACATCTTCTATAGTCAAGCATCAACTGGTAAGGCAAAGACTTGTCATACATGAGATATGCATAATACTAAAATGATTTTGGTCAAATAAATGCAAATAGATTAAATGACATTGACTTCCACTGTGCCAAGTAGACCTATTTCATTGAACCTTAAATTAAATGTATCTTGTATTTCAAATGTGTTTATATTTTTTTCCCTTTTTTACATCAGAAGGAAAAAATATTCCTTTTCTTCTCCAGGTTAATTGGTCTCCCAGGGTCCTTAAATCCAGCCCCTCCTTCAGCTTAACTTCCACACAACTATCAGCAAGAATCTGAACACATCTTCTATAGTCAAGCATCAACTGGTAAGGCAAAGACTTGTCATACATGAGATATGCATAATACTAAAATGATTTTGGTCAAATAAATGCAAATAGATTAAATGACATTGACTTCCACTGTGCCAAGTAGACCTATTTCATTGAACCTTAAATTAAATGTATCTTGTATTTCAAATGTGTTTATATTTTTTTCCCTTTTTTACATCAGAAGGAAAAAATATTCCTTTTCTTCTCCAGGTTAATTGGTCTCCCAGGGTCCTTAAATCCAGCCCCTCCTTCCTCTTCCTTCTCCATCTGGAAACTTACTTTCTCAAAACCTACAAACAAAAATCTTTCCTCTGCCCAGTTATTGGTTCAAGCTACCTTTCTGTGTCTATCTTTCTTTCTTTGCACAAGTTCCAAAGAATTCTCACGGTTTCTGTTTTGTAATCTGGCTTTTGCCCTCAACCCACTATTGCAATTACACTCTCACAGCTCACAAATGATTGCCTGCCTCATCAGCACATCTTTCTGAGACTTTACCCTTCTTGGCATTTTTGACAGTTGATGTATCTTTCTAAAACAATCTCCTTTGTTTTTGTGACACTGTGCTACCTGGTTTCTTCACTTCTACAAACTGTTCTTCCTTTCATTCCATTCATGGTCTTTTTCCTTTAATACTGCAAAGTAAGCACTCCACAAGGCCCTGTCCTCTTCTCTTGATCTGCTTTCCCATCCATCCTTACATTTCAAAGGCCTCCTTTGAATGACCTCCAAGCTTATGTCCAGCCAGTATCTCTTTTGTGAACTGCTGTACTTTCAATGCTAACAGGACATCTCTGGCATTTCAAACCCTTGTGCAAATACATCAGCTTGCCACAAAATCAATTTTTCTAACTTTCTTTTTTTGCTTATGGTTTAACATCTTTTAAGTCAGCCAAGACTGAAGACTTTGATTCATCACTTACTCTTCTAATTTCCTTTCCAAAAACTGAAATGTTGAAAAATTCTTTCCATTATTTTTGTCCAAGGGACATTCAACGGTCATCACCTTTCCATCACCATCACCTGCACCACAATGGTTAGGGCTGTCATCACCCCTCGCCCCTCAACCACAATCACTTCTTAACTGGTGTCTCACTGCAGCTTCTTCCCAGTCCAATCTATCCTACCCAGTGCTGCCAGGGCATTTTCCCCTAAAAGGAGAGTTCTTGTCCAACACTCCTCTGATCAGGAATCTCTAACAGTTTGATTGTTGCTGGACTATATCTAGACTCCTTAACATGGTATTTAAGAACTTCACAGTTTGGACTACAAACGTGTACCTTTTTGGTCTTACAAATATATTAATTTTCTATTTCTGTGGCTTGGTGTTTAAGAGTATTGACTCTGAAACCAGATTGCCAAGTTTGAATCCTGACTCCTATTACTAGCTTGAGAACATGGACAATTTTCTTTATCAGTCTGTGCCTCAGTTGTCTCATCTGTAATACAGGAATAATAATCCTTCCAGGGATGTTGTGAAAATTAAACATATGAAAAGTGCCGGGCATATATAGCTAGCTCTATATAATGTGTTTCATTGTACAAGTATTTACTGATGCCTACACATAAGTATGTATGCCAAGAATTCTTCTAGGGGCTTGGAGATAATATCAGTAAGCAAACAGAAACCCTTGCTTTTATGAAAGTTACATTTGGTAATAAAAATAATTATTACTAATTGCCCATAATTCTCTGTTTCTGGAGTACCCTTCTTCCTGCAACATCATTATTAAAATTCTACCCTTCCTTTCAGATTCCATAACTTGCTGTTTTACCCCTTGAAATCTTACCTTGGGAGAGGGTCTCTTCTGAACTCCTCAAACTCCTGAAGTCTGAATTAAAGCATTTATCACATTCTCCACACTCTATCATGTATTATCAAATATCAAACATATTAAATATTATGGTTGCTCATGTTTTTGTTATTCTTGATGGAGTGTCGTGTCAGCTACTATCCCTGTGTCCCAATAGTAGCATGATATACCTTGTATCCAAGCACATAGTAGATGCTTAATAAATATTTCTTGAATGAACGTAGGTAAAGAACTCTGCATATTTCATTTGACCTCTATTATTAACCTTCTTTAATAGCAAACATAAATTTAAAATATAGAACATATTTATTTCAGCTCTGGAAATACAAATATCAGTATCAAATATTTGTTATTTACTTCCTGGCTTTATTCATTACCATCATTTGGGCCCTTTACTAGTAGGCAATTTTTGTTGTTTGCTTTACTAAGTATATCTTACAGTATATTTAATATCCCCTGTTACCATGAGAAGTGCCCCCAAATTTTTGTCACAGGAGAATTGTGGATAGAGTACATTTCATTTGTTGTGCTTTCTATGGTCAGCACAGATTTTTTTTCCTGTTTCTCACTTCCTTTCTAACATGATCAAATATTTCCAGGTACTCATCTGTAATTTTCTGGTTTAATTCTGAGTTTTTTCTTCATTCCAAAGAACTGCAGATGTTGGAAATTTATTTTTATAGCATCTAAAATAAGAATTTAGGTATTTTTTCTAAATCATCAAGTATCTTTTCTCTAAATTTGCCTGCCATTTTCCAGCTATTACTGGAAAGACCAGACCAACTGTAAGTTCTCTCCTATCTTCTAATCTGTATTTTCACAATGCTATTGATCACACTACTATAGTAAAATACAGTTATATTATGCTATATTTTAAGTCTCTTTTATATCACTTAACCTTGCTAAGTCATCTTAACTATCCCTTTTACACAGGCAGAACTCCATCAAAATGGCATGACAATCTTCTCTTTTTTTTAAATAACAGGGCAAACACAATAGATTTTTAAATAATGATCAAGGATTTTTTTTATTCATTAAGTTTCAGTATCATTACAGAAAATGTTATGGTACAGAGTTGTTTAATACTGTTTTTTCTTTGCTCTTGATTTCCACATGAATGCTGGTAACACTAATACCTGTACAAGATCAGTCTCTGATTTTATTTTTTTGTTCTGTACAATTTTAAATGTATTGGTTAAAAAGGCTGTCAGCACTTAAGGAAGCATTTCCCCCCCCAAGTTTGTTTGTTGAAATAAAAGTTATCCAGTTACTGTCCAAGAGTACTGTGCCTTGAGGCTCCTGGGCGAGAACCCTTCCAGACACCCTGCAGGGGATGGTTCTCCTGGAGGCAGGGCAGGGCTCCGCCCAGTCCCTCTTCTTTTGGCACTGTGCACATAAACACGAGATACATGATAAAGAACAAGCAAAAGCTCTCTGTAAAGCGGTTATGAAGCGTACTAAGAAGGGAAATCCAAGTGTTGCCTACAGTAGTATAAATAAGCAGACAGCCTTGATTTAAGAGCATAATTAGTTGTATTTTAAAGATGAGAAAAACACAAGTTCGGCAGGCACCTATTGCTGTCTACTAAAAGCTATCAGACCTAGCATTGAACACACAAAGCAATTTGCAAGAAAGGAAAAATTTGCTTTGATATAATCAGAATAGAGTTGTCTGTTAAGATTTATTTTTAGGTGTTTTTTTCTTTAAAATGTATTTAAATTCTTTTGAAATATAGTTCAAGATGTTGACTATACAGATCAACTTTTATCCAAATCAGAAAAACTAGCTGTGCCGTTGCATATTACAGGATACAGTCAATGATATGTGGACATGCATCAAAGCCTCCTCCTGCTGGCGATCATCATAGCCGTCCAATGACCATGACGTCCACCACCTCGCCCTTGTGGAGCTCCACATACTGCTCCGTCTTAGGAGGTAGCATCAACAATCCGTTGGCGCTGCGCATGCTCATCAGACGGCTGCTCATCTGATTACCTGGAAAGAAACTCCCATCACAGCAGTGTAAGTGGCACGGTGTGTACATTTAGAGCCCCTCTAGTTCTTTTCAAAATAAAAACTGGTGAACAGAAATGCAGGTCTTTGAGAGGAAGAGAGATGATTGGACTCCTCAGTACCTTTTTCCAGTGGCCTCGCCACTGTAACCTAATACTTATCCATTAAATTTTAAAAGCAAACATTAGAAATTATGGTTTAAAAGAATAAAGCCAGCATTTTATAGTGTTATGCAAAACGACACAGAATTTCTCAATTCCGGCTAAAATATTATGTGTTTCCGAAAAGAGAGGCTTTTAAAACCTATGAAAATAAAGATAATACTAGTAGCAGCTACCATTTCCTTAGTATTTACTAAGTACCGGACACAGTGGTAGGCACTTAACTATCTTATTTAATTCTCAGAAGACTCAAAAGAGGTTAGGTAACTTGCCTACTTCCTCTTAATTAGCTGGGGGCCAATTTAAATGCACGTTTCTGATGGCAAAGCCCATGTACTTTAGTCACTGTGTTGATCTTTACAGTTGATAGGATCTTTGTTTAAAGCATAATACAATTTTTCTGGAGTTGTATCAAAAGTTAGTTAAAATATTACTTGAGAAGTTGGGGATAAAAGTTTAGTCTACAGGAGGTAACTACAGAATGCTGATTTATCAATATCAATTTCTCCGTCCTTAAAATTTACAATATCTCAGGTATAATACAGAGAATCACATTATAATTGGGCTTTGATCTCACATTTCAGGATACATTGGCCACAGCCCCCGACTTTTCCTACAACCAACATTATGCTCAGAACTAACTGGCTGAACAAACAGATAAAAATCTTAAGTAATTCTAGATTTGTATTTCAAAAGTTTCTCTAGAAAATATGGCTCCATGGAATAACTAAATCTTAATTAAAATTCTTTTACTCTTGTCCTATTATACTGTACTGTTTAGGAATAATACAACTCAGCTAATCTTTCAAAAAGGGAAATGTACAATAATTACACAATTAGGTATAGCCAAGGAAGGAGAAATATAAAAATTTCTGTTTTAGCAGGGTGGGTGCACAGAATTACCTGCAGGTGTGAATGACTAACCTGTACTCTGTGCCCAAGGCAGTGGTTCTTGGTGATGCCAAGTCAGTATACACCGATGGTATTCTGGACGAGGATCCAGTTTTACATCACATGATAGCTATAGAATAGAGAGGAAAAGAAAACAAACTTGATCACCTACTCATCTCTGAGAACTACTGGTGGTTGAAGTTGTATAAAGAATACAATGGAGTGGAAAATATCTTGGCATTCTATTTCCACCACTGTCATCTTATGATCTTAATACAGGAAATTCAGAGGTTGTGTTGCTCTGGTGAAAACAGAAAAAGAAGGCTAAGAAGTTGGTAATCTTAGTGGGGAAAAAGGGCAGATTGAAAAGGATAAAGTCTGTTCTTGAAGTCCAATTTTATGGGTTGTGAAGATAAATACCCTTGACCTATGATTTGAGAAATCAAAGCAGATATTTCAACATTGAAAATAAAGGAGATAGAGCTAAACAAACAAGCTCAATATCCATTTATCTGTATGTCCATTCACCTGTCAGTCCATCCATGAATATTTACTGAGATGTTATTCAGCTACCCATTCATATACCTATCTTCAACATAAAAGGGGTAGTCACTTTCTTTTTTCTCTTGAATATTCCCCTAGTGTCCCAATACTGACATATAATCTTACTAACACAAATAAAAGTAGTCACTACCAAAAGCTGTACCATTGTGGTTTACTCACACCATTGGTACTAAAAGAATTCCTCTGAATGAGTCTTTGCTATGGGATGGCATCTTTCATATTTAACAAGGATAAATCCTTTCTAACACAGTAACTTCAATTTACACATGTGATATAGAATGACCAATCACTCTTCAACCAGGAACCATTATTTTAAAAAAGCTATTTCATTAAATTCATCCTGAAATCTGATAAGTTATAGTGATAATGTGTTGGTAGCAGGTGTCTAAGGTGTCTAAGGTATATTCCTTGGACAAGTTTACAGAGTATATAAGATGGCCTGTACCCCTTCAAAGATTAGTTTGATGTTACTGAAAACAAGACTTGTTCCAATGTAAGAGGATTAATATTTTCCATTAGCACAGCAGTCATTTAAGTTAATTTACCTTGAAATGGTCTAGAAATCCTTTATTCAACTAAAACACACTTAGATCAAATGATATAATTAAGACTTGAATATCCTTGTAATTTTGATTCAAGTAAGTCTATTGCCAATTGATTCTGGTTACTGTGTTTTTAAATATTTAATTACTCACTTTGATAATCCATGCTTTTCTTCTGTAAACCAGAATAAATTTCAGTTCTGAGGTATTTTTCCTTGATTAAAAAACACTCAGCTTTTCACTGGATATTGCCTATGTTTATTTATTTATTTATTTATTTATTTTGGTATCATTAATATACAATCACATGAGCAACATTGTGGTTACTAGATTTCCCCCATTATCAAGCTCCCATCGCATACCCCATTACAGTCACTGTCCATCTGAGTAGTAAGATGCTATAGAGTCACTACTTGTCTTCTCTGTGCTATACTGCCTTCCCTGCATCCCCCGACCCCTACTACATTATGTGTGCTAACCGTAATATTCCTTATTCTCCTTATCCCTCCCTTTCCACCCATCCTCCCCAATCCCTTTCCCTTTCGTAACCACTAGCCCATCCTTGGGTTCTGTGAGTCTGCTGCTGCTTTGTTCCTTCAGTTTTTGCTTTGTTGTTATACTCCACAGAGGAGTGAAATCATTTGATTCTTGTCTTTCTCTACCTGGCTTATTTCACTGAGCATAATACCCTCTCACTCCATCCATGTTGTTGCAAATGGTAGGATTTGTTTTCTTCTTATGGCTGGACAATATTCCATTGTGTATATGTACCACATCTTCTTTATCCATTCATCTACCTATGGACACTTAGGTTGCTTTCATTTCTTGGCTATTGTAAATAGTGCTGCGATAAACATAGTAGTGCATATGTCTTTTTCAAACTGGGATGCTGCATTCTTAGGGTAAGTTCCTAGGAGTGGAAATCCCAGGTCAAATGGTATTTCTATTTTTAGTTTTTTAAGGAACCTCCATACTGCTTTCAACAATGGTTGAACTAATTTACATTCCCACCAGCAGTGTAGGAGGGTCCCCTTTCTCAACATCCTCGCCAACATTTGTTGTTTGTCTTTTGGATGTTGGCCATCCTAACTCGGGTGAGGTGGTATCTCATTGTGGTTTTAATTTGCAATTATCTGATGATTAGCAATGTGGAGCATCTTTTCATGTGCCCGTTGGCCATCTGAATTTCTTCTTTGGAGAATTGTCTGTTCAGATCCTGTACCCATTGTTTAATTGGATTATTTGCTTTTTCTTTGTTGAGGCACATGAGCTCTTTATATATTTTGGATGTCAACCCCTTATTGGATATGTCATTTATGAATATATTCTCCCATACTGTAGGATGCCTTTTTGTTCTACTGATGGTATCCTTTGCTGTACAGTAGCTTTTTAGTTTGATATAGTCCCACCTGTTCATTTTTTGCTTCTGTTTCCCTTCCCCGGGGAGATAAGTTCATGAAAAAGTTGCTCATGTTTATATTCAAGAGATTATTGCCTGTTTTCTTCTGAGAGTTTTATGGTTTCATGACTTATGTTCTGGTCTTTGATCCATGTCAAATTTACTTTTGTCTATGGGGTTAGACAGTAATCCAGTTTCATTATCTTACGTGTAGCTGTCCAGTTTTGCCAACGCCAGCTGCTGAAGAGGCTATCATTTCCCCATTGCATATCCATGGCCCCTTTATTGTATATTAATTGACCATATATGCTTGGGTTAATATCTGAACTCTGTATTCTGTTCCATTGGTCTATGGGTCTGTTCTTGTGCCAGTACCAAATTGTCTTGATTACTGTGGCTTTGTAGTAGAGCTTGAAGTCAGGGAGCTTAAATCCCCCTGCTTTATTCTTCCTTCTCAGGATTGCTTTGGCTATTTGGGGTCTTGCCTATGTTTATACTTTCATATCTACTGGGGGGTACTGCCATTATTCTGAAATTATTTTGTGTTTATCTAAGGGCAAGCATCTCTCTTTCAGTCTCTCTCTGTGTATGTTGTGCTTTCCAGAACTAAACTACAAGAGCTATTCACATGGTGCATTATTTGCTAAGTGTTTAAGCAAGGCTTTTTTTTTTTGCCAATGGTCCTGATAGGCTTATGGCAGTACAGTCGAACAAATCCTGGAATGGGATGATATCTGACCCTTAGGTTCTACTCCCAGCTTTGCTGCTAATTGGGTGCTGTATTAGCAAGTTATTTTGCTTACCTAAATCACTTTGTTCACCTACAAAATGGGGTTGTTTTAAAGGAAGATGTGTTAATTTTAGAAACAAGAATAAATTTCATTAAATTAAAGTGAATGAAAATTTTCATAGCTTCACAAACAGCTGTTAGTTTTTCAGGAATAGGTAAAACTGATTAGATTTTTATGGTATTTTACTGAAATACCAAATATTTTATTAACCAATATATTTAGTTGTAGTGGTATTATAGTTCTGGCATATTACGTCACTTAGCCTAAAAAAGCACTTATTTACTGTGAGAGTCAATGCTTAAGAAATGATGTACTGTGAGTAAACAAAGACACTTTCTTTGTGAAAAAGCATTATAAATGGTTGTTTCATTTATAATGACTTCTATTATTTAAAATTGGGCTATTTCCTGAAGTGAAGTAGGATTATCCTCTGTTTCCTTGGAATATTTTCCTGGCACATAGTAGTTACTGAGAAGATAACATCATATTATTGATGTATTACACTGGAAGCATTGAAGAATTTTAATGAGATGTCGACATGGTTAGAGTTAAACAGAAAAGTGATTTAAGAAGAGGCAAGACTAGAAGAAGGGAAACCATTAAATATGCCAAGGGTTAGAATCTAGTAAATGTTGAAGACGTCATTCAAACCCAGGCTTATGTGGCTACAAAATTCATGGAAAATGGATAGTGGAAGGGTCTTTAGGAGAATGGTGAAGATTTGGAAAACTGAAGTAAGGAATGGAAGAAGCTGGTCCACAGATCTAAAAGGATCACCATGGGGAATTTTAGCCCCAGCTGAGATTTGTAAATTGAAGCAATAACCTGAACAGCTATATAGTCTTCTCTAGTTGTGCTTAGAGGCCTAGGAGTAAAAGGGAAGGACAAAGAAGGGAGGATTGATCCATATGTGTGGATTTTGAGTGGGTTATAGTGAAAGGGAGAAGAGGCAAACCCAAACTGAGGGTGCTGAAAAAAGCCGAAGTGCTACACCACAAGGTTTAGGTTGGATGAAGAAAAAGGTAAAGCCAGGGGGTGCTTATAGACTGAGGCAGAAGGGTAGGGGCTACATGAGTGATTACACTTTTTCATATCAACTGAGAAGTAACTTGCCATTGTTCCTAAACTGTATGCCAGAGTTGGTGATTTTTGAGATGGAGAAGTTCAGGGTACTGAAAAGGATTTTTGTGTGAATTGCTGAAGTAGAAAATAAACGTATTTAGAATTATAGAAGTAACCCAACTGATGGTAAGAGGTGAGGAAGAGAAGAAGACAAGCAGACAATTGCTAAAGACCTGAGTGTCTTCAGAAGGTACGATGGTGGCAATGAGGAGAAAGCAAAGGCTCCAGAAGATTCAGGGGGATAGGCTGGGACTAAATGTCACACAGATTGGAGAAGAGAGTTTTTAAGAAAAGGGATGACCAAAGGGATTCAATTGGGTGGAAGTCCAAGATAACATGCTCATGGCCCTGGTTGGTGCTGAGGGCCTGGACTCTGTTGGGGTCTGGTCAAAGCTTCCAAAGAGTGGTTGAAGCAATCTTCAGAATGCATTGATTTAAAATGCTGACATGCTTTGTGCTGACCTTTTAAAATAATGCAGCACTGCCCCATACATAAGACACTAGCTTTTTTGATAAGTACTATAGAAGTTATGAAGCACTGATTCATTAGCTTACCAAAGAGGTCCTTGAGTTTATTTACCCTATAAATCATCTGTATAAAATTTATCATGTAACTTAAAAATCCTTGCACACACTGGTATGGATCAATTTCAAATTCATTTTCTCAAAGTTTTGATAAAGTAATTATATTTTCAATTTTATAAAAATAAGTTAAAATTTATTTTCATTTTTTATAAATCACGGATGGTTTTATCATTTTCAATATCTGTTTTTTAATCCATAAGCCATATATTCTCATATAACAGGCATCCAAGAATATCTTTTGGTGATCAGTGATCTCATCACAAAAAACAATCACATTTCTCTACAGTTGCAAACACTTTAGCAAACTTTCAAAAAATATAAGCATTTTGTTGAAATGTTTTGTACTTTACTGTTTATGACATCAGTCAGAAAGCATTCATCAAATTCTTACAGTATAGTATAGATGGTAATGCTCAAGAGAAGAGGCAAGGTGGACAAATTAGAATAGTCTTCCAGAGTTCCAACATGGTCACATTTTCCCAAGACATGATGACCTCGTCCCATGGGAGGTGCAAGTATTTTCTCATTCCCTTCTTTTAATCACTACCTGAGGTGGGCTGTTAATAGGAGTTACCTGAGGTATGTTTACAGAGAAAAAAAGGGTAGTATATGGTGCTTTGATGGGCTATTAAGGAAACACATAATAGGATGTCCTTTCGTGGAAACATTAGGTCAATAATTATTATGTTTCTAACTCTCTAGAAAATCATAAGTGTTTCAGTTTCAACCATAATTGACCAAGGAAATAGGGCAAGTGTTTACTCTAAACTGATAATCTTCAGAATGCATTGATTTAAAATGGTGACTGTTTTGTGCTGACCTTTTAAAATAATGCAGCATTGCCTTATCCATAAGACATCTACATCATAGTCCAGCCGTGTGCTACTGACACCAGCATTTAACATTTATCTCATTGCCTGACAACAATAAGAACTGGGGTGGGGGTGAGGGTGATGGCTGTGATTGTGGCAACCATTTTGGAGAAAAGAGTAACTACCTGATTCTTAGACTAGTTTTCAATCCTGTGACCTGACAAGGATGAGCAGCATCAGGAGCAATGCTCAAGCACCAAGGTCAGCTACACAGCACTGTCTCATCACTGTTGTCAGGATAGATGGCTGCCACAGTGCCAGTTTTAAAGAAGAGATGGTGGATGTTAAAATGAGAAATAAATGAAAAGATTCATAAGAACTTTACCAAGTCAGAGAAATTCTCTTTGTCTTATAGCAATGTGTATTTTTCTTTTTTCCTAATTTTAGCAATTATGAAAATAGTGAGCCAATTCAGTATTACTGGTTTGAATGTCCAAGTTCTATGCCTCTAACCTCCTGACTTGATCAGAATACTTTCTGTTCACTGATAGCTTTTTTTCTTCTCTTTCCACTTAATTTAAAATAAGACCACAATTGTGAGTATAGGAAAGAAAAGATAAAGAAGCTTTGTTTTCAGAAATATCTACTTGAACTTTTAAGAAAAGTAGAATATTTCTTCATACACTACTCTACCAAGTCTCAGTATTTAGGCCAAAGTTGAGAATACCTGAAGACTAGATTTTCTTAATGTTTCTATCCTATATATTCTCTGAATAATATTTTATTTCTATTTTCCCTTCCTCTTCTATGTTTTGTGTTCTTCCTGTCATTGCTTTAGAATCGTAGCATTCTATAATATCTGAATTTATTTCAGAGCTCTTGAAAAGTATAGTTTGGGTACTGGGAAAACTGGATATATACATGTAAACAAATAAAATTAAACTCCTATCTTATATAATACACAAAAATGAACCCCAAGTGGATAAGACTTAAATGTAAGACCTGAAACAGTAAAACTACTAGCAGAAAACATAAGGGGAAAGTTGAAGTTTTTTGACATTGGTCTTGGCAATAATTTCTTGGGTTTGACATCAAAAGCACAGGCAATAAAACTGAAAATAGACACCCAACCAAAAATGTCTTCACAGCAAAGGAAGTCAATGGCATGAAAAGGCAACCTATGGAACAGGAAAAAATATTTAAAACTATTTATCTGATAAAGGGTTAATATCTGAAATACATAAGAATTTCTTATACTCAACAGCAAAAAAAAAAAAAACCCACAAAAAAACTCCATCTGGTTAAAAAGTGGGCAAAAGACTTGAACAGATATTTCTCCAAAGAAGACATATACATGGCCACCAGGTATATGAAAGAGTGCTCAATATCACTAATCATCAGGGAAATGCAGATCAAAATCTTAATGAAACATTACCTCACACCTAATAGGATAGCTATTATCAAAAAACAAAAGATGATAAGTACTGGTGAGGATGTGGAGTAACTGGGACCCCAACCCTGTTGGTGGGAATGTAGAATGGTTTGGCCACTATAGACATTACTCAAAAAATTAAAAATAGAGCTAAGATCCGGCAATCCTGCTCCTGGGTATATCAGTAACTGAAATCAGGATCTCAAAAAGATATCTGCACCTCCATGTTCAATGTATCATTATTCACAACAGCCAATATATTGGCAAACAACCCAAATGTCCACTAACAGATGAATGGATAAGGAAAATATGGTACATACATACAATGGAATATTATTAAGCTTTAAAAATGAAAGAAATCCTACCATTTGCAGTAACATGGATGAACCTAGGGTACATTATGCTAAGTGAAATAAGCCAGTCACAGAAAGACAAACACTGCATGATTCTACTTGTATGTGGTAACTAGAGTAGTTAAAGTCAGAGAAGCAGAGAACAGAATGGTGGTTGCCAGGGGTTAAGGGGAGGAGGAAATAGGGAATTGTTGCTCAATGGTTGTAAAATTTCTGTTATGGAGGGGGCGGAGCCAGGATGGCGGTGTGAGTAGAGCAGTGAAAATCTCCTCCCAAAAACACATAGAGCTATGAAAATATAACAAAGAAAACTCTTCCTAAAATAGAGACCAGAGGACACAGGACAACATCCAGACCACATCCACACCTGCAAGAACCCAGCACCTCGCGAAAGGGGGAGAGGAAGGCCACAAACCAACAAGAAAGGAAGCTCTTCCAGCGGTCACTTGTACCAGCTCTGCAAACTATCTCTATCACCATGAAAAGGCAAAACTACAGGCAGACAAAGATCACAGAGACAACACCTGAGAAGGAGACAGACCTAAC